AATTATTATAGAATTACTATTATGCTGAAGGCCAATCGCTAATATTATTAATAGTTAACTTTCCATTTTAGTCCTAAAATACAACTAAATTGTACCCTAAGTTGCATGAATCATCAATTCATCAAGAACAACTAATCGGAGAAACATTATTTAGACGAGTCCCTCCATTATGTGTGTTGTATAAGCGAAATCACTTAGGACTTGGATAATCGCAGAATTCAAGCTGTCTCGTTTTACTTCTGCTTCTCTATACTTATAGGACCTTTTATCTTGCTACTTCATACTGCGCGAGGTTCTTATGGTAGTTTGCAGTGAAGTCACCTGCGTGCTATTCTCTCCAAACATGTTTTTTATGTAGCACCCTAGTAGGTTATGATTAGACTTCAAAGGCCCCAAAAGTGCTCATTGAGATGTATTATTTTGGTTATCTCGTCCTCTTGCAAAAACCATTTATCATTAACTATAGGCTGTTTTAGCCCATAGTTGAATCAATCCGTCGTTCAGCTACCTAACTTTCACTATGGACCCATTATGGCTAAAGAGCAGTATCTCGAGAACGATTAAAGAAGACGCCCAAAGATAACTGACCTTCGTAGTGCTAGTTCGAACTTGTTTACGCACCTTGCTCGGAGCGTCAAGGGGACCTTGTGGAACGTACCTGGTCCCGTGTCCTCCTTCATAGAAATCGTGATTTCCAGCATTGAACCATTGACTTGGTACATTCCCAAACGTTTAGCTGGCGTCGTCAGTGAGAGGCGCCATCGTAAGCACAGAAACGTTATGGCATACCTTCTAGTTTTTTCCAACTAGATCAGGAAATATCATTCCGATAAAGTCAATGTGATATTACATCAAGCTGCTTTGCAAAAATTAGAGGTAGTCTCGAAACTGAAATACGAAAAATTATGTTTTTATATATGAAACCTAGGCTAATGCATGATTTAAAGCGGATTTTCATTCCGGAAAATTCATTGAAACTACACAAGATGACAGACAAAATGGGTAAAAGAATATCGGACTTAACCAAAAAAGGAACCAAGAGAAGTTGAGTAAATATTGAATCTATAGGCAGCCCAAAGTCCAACCATCTGGAAAATATGAAGATGTCTATAGGCTGAGGGATCTCACAGTACAGACAAGAAATGAGGATAGAGTAGTCAATCTGTCTTCAGTCCCTCTTGACCTGGAAACCACTGAGCTCCTCCAGAAGGGACTAAATTTTGCACTTCGAAATGAAAGGAAGGCAGTCAAGGATATTTTAGTTGAAGGGACAAATACTTCAGAGAAGCTATCTGAAGAATCTAAAAGAGAGCTGGGAATGAAAATCATTCAAGCAATCTTGCTACATCAAGAACCCACATATACGGACAATATAACTAGGATATATAGAGAATGGAGAAGAAACGATCAAATTGTCCTACAAGCTGGCCAAGGAGGTGCCCTTGTGCTGATGGACAGGAAGAAATATACAGAGAAAATACAAAATATTCTCGGGGGAACTAGAACTTATCGACTACTAACAAAAGACCCAATAGTTAAAATCACAGGGGCATTGTAAGAGATGCTGAAGGAAATGAAAACGAACGAGTGAATCGACAAATGGACAATGAACTCACTCATACGAAACAATGAAAGAGCTCCAGTAGCATACGGTTTGTCGAAGGTAGACAAAGAATGAGAATTATTAAGCTTGATAATCAACAATTAATATGGGACAACACATAAGTTGAAAAAATTTACCTGCCTCAAATTAAAGATGAATGACAGATTAACGAATACAGTGAAGAACTCATAGGAATTTTGCCAAAGAATCAAAGGCACCAGTAGGGAAGGAAACGAACTTTTATGGAACTTTGATGTACAGACTATGTAAATTAACAGTACAGGAGAAAAACACTCCCGGCACTACTGGAGATCTTGGAAAAGGAGCGAATCCGCAAAGAGTCTCTAACCCGATTAATCAACCTAACAATAAGAGGGACAGCCGCAGCTTTGAGCAAATATTTGGTCGGCCTATGTTCTCACCACTCACCTCTGTTGGCCAATGTCTTTATGGACAGGTTGAAGAACAATTTTAAAATTTCACCTCAGCAGCCAACAGTAATTATGCGATATTTGGATGACTACTTCGCAATCTAGTCGCATGGAAAAGAAAAATTAGAGGATTTTAAGATCTTCATAGACGAAGTGGATGAAAAAGTCAAATTTATCATAGATGTAAAGGTAATTCGTTCCAAGGAAGCTCTCAAAAAACGACTTTTTCTAGATAAATGGCATTTTGGAATAACTTTTAACTTCCAGTCAAAACATAATTATGCAATGAAGATAAGAGTACTCCGGAGTAGGGTCATAAGAAGCATACGACTCACTGATGCC